ATTCAATATCAAGGCCGAAATCGTGGTCCGGCTTGGAAGCTTCCTCAATTGATAGAAGGCTCCTCTTTTTTTTTTTTTTTTTTCAAGTTTTTATCCAAAGTTGAGTACAAACAAATTTCCATTACATACATTTATGGGGGTTGACCTCAGAAAGTAATTTCATACCAATTAATGGCTTTATGCCATTTCTGCTTAAATTGCTCACTTGTTTTTCCCGCTAGAAACATATTTAATTTATCCATTTCTATTACTTTGTAAAAATTGCTAAGCAATACATCACGACTCGGCAAATTATCTGATTTCCAGTTCTTTGCGACAGCTATCCTAGCCATTGTAATTAAGTAAACAATGATACATTTCACATTATATTTTAATCCATCGGGTGTTATATTTAACAGGAAGATTTCAGGAGTAAGTGTTAAGTCTATATCTGTAATCTCTTTTATCAGATGCTTAGTCATTTTCCAAAAACTTTGTACTCTTTCGCATTTCCACCAAATGTGGAAATACGTCCCAATATTATGGTTACATCTCCAGCAGTTTCCAGAAATATTTGTATAACATTTTTGTAGCCTGTCTGGAGTCCAGTGCCACCTATGTATCATTTTTATTATGTTTTCCCTATAGGATATAGCTCTTAGAAGTTTAATTGATTTCCAGGTTTTTCCCCAGTCCTTCATCTCTATTTCCCTCCCTAAATCTTTTTCCCATTTGATCATTGTAGGTTTTTTCCAGTCTTCCCCTATTTCATCTTCTAGTAGGAAGTTATAAAGTTTTTGTATTGATTTTTCCTTATTTTTCAACCATATCTTATCAAAGTCTGTTTCTGTAGTATAAAAATCCATCTTTTTATCTTTTGTGAATCTTGAAATTAATTGATTCTCTTCCCATATCGTAAGATTTAAGTTCATCGCACGAATATGTTGCCATGTCTTCAACTGATTTTTCTCGTCCAATAGGGCTTGATATGTTTTAATTTTATTCTCATCTAATAGATTTGGGAGTATAAAGGCCTCCAGAGGGGATACCCATTTTGGTATTTTTTTATAGTATTTTTCTTTTATTTTACGCCATATTTGCATTAGTGGGCCCCTTACCACATGGTTTGAGAAGTTTTTGTGTATTTTATCTTTTTCATACCACACATAGGCATGCCAGCCCATGTGTAGATCAAAACCTTCTAATTTTAATATTCTTTTATCATCCAACAGTATCCAATCTTTTATCCACCCCAGTGAAGCTGCTTGATAATACAAATTCCAATCTGGGAGGGTAAGGCCGCCTCTAGTTTTTTTCTCTCTCAGAAGTTTCAACTTTATTCTGGCCTTTTTTCCTTGCCATATGAATTTACTTATCAACTTATTTAATTCATCAAAAAATTTATTATTTTTAAGTATTGGGATGCATTGCGCTAGAAATAATATGCGCGGTAAGATATTCATCTTTATGGTTGATATTCTTCCCATAAATGATATTTGCAGGTCTTGCCATCTTAACAAATCTTTTTTAATGCCTTCTATAGTAACCTTATAATTATTTTCATATAAATTGTTATTGTTATTAGTAATATTTATACCTAAGTATTTAACTTTTTTGACAATTCCTATATTGGTATTTTTTTGAATTTCTTCTATCTCTTCTTTACTGCAATTCTTCATCAACAGTTTTGTTTTATTTATGTTAATTTTCAGTCCCGCTACTTCTCCATATTCCCTTATCCTTTTTAGTAAATTTTTTATCGATGTTTTCGGATCCTCTAATATATAAGCCAAGTCATCCGCGAAGGCTTGTAACTTAAATTGTTCACCTTTAAACTTCAGACCTTTAATTGTAATATCATTTCTTACTGTTTCATTTAGTGACTCTAGTCCAAATATGAATAACAATGGGGATAGAGGACATCCTTGTCTCGTCCCCTTTTCTATAGGGATTTTCTGCGTAAGTTCACCATTAACTATAACCTTAGCCCACTGGTCTTTATATATAGCCTCTATCATGTTATAAAAATCATTTCCGCATTTCCAGATAGCCAATTTTTGTTTTAAGAAGTCCCAATTCACGTTATCGAAGGCTTTCTCAGCATCAAGAAACATTAATGCCATTTTTTCTCCTGGGTGATATTCATAATATTCTATAACATCAATTATTGTTCTTATGTTACGTTTTATTTGTCTTTTCGGGAGAAAGCCTGATTGATCTTGGATAATTTGAGAGATTACCTTTTTAAATCTGTCTGCTAATATTGCGGCATAGATCTTGTAATCCACATTCAATAACGAAATTGGTCTATAGTTTTTAATTTCGACTCCTTCTGTATTCGATTTGGGGATTAATGTGATTAAGGCCTCATTCCAAGATTGTGGGATAGTAGCTGTCTTTGGAATATTTTGGACCATATCTTTGAATAGTGGTGTTATTTCTTCTTCTAGTTTTTGATACACTTCCGCAGTCAGGCCATCGGGGCCTGGCGCCTTTTTCTTCTTTTGTTTATTAAGCACTTCCATGATTTCACACATTGTTATTTTTTCATTTAACATTTTTTTCTGTTCTTCAGAGAAAGTTCCTAGATTGTATTTCTTTAGGTACTCTTCAATGTCTCTCTTGTCCTTTATTTCCTGACTGTACAGTTTTGTGTAAAACTTTTCCACTATGTCTTTCAGTTTTTCGTTCGTATATTCCAAATTCCCATTTTCATTTTTTAATGAGGAGATAGTTCTTTTCTCTTTTTCCTTTCTTAATCTATAAGCTAATCATCTCGTTGGTTTGTTTGCCGCATCAAAGTAGTATGCCTTTGCTCCTCTTTTTGTTGCGTGCTCCTCATGATAACACCCATTTGCAGGTTAGGCTTAACAGGAAAGGAAATCTATCGGACCCTATTAACACCTATAGGGGAGTTAGGCAGGGTTGCGTACTAGCCCCTTCCCTGTTTAATCTATATATTAATGATATAGTAAGTTACTTGGACTCCCCCAGTTTACATCCACCAAAACTTCAACAACAGCATGTGTCTATCTTACTGTATGCCGACGATGCTGTCATCTTAGCTAGAACAACAGTTGGCCTTAGAAGAGCTCTCAGTAAGTTTGCAGACTTTTGTAACAATAAGGAACTAACAATAAATTTCCAAAAAAACAAGGTTATGGCCTTCGGGACCAGACAAAAGAAAAGAATCTGGTCTGTAAATGGGCATTCATTAGATCAGGTTTCCTGCTTTAAATACTCAGGTATGGTCCTTCAATCAAATAGGGCTAGGAAAGCCCATATACAGTATGTTGCCTCCCAAGGTGAAAGAACAGCCAATGCTATTCTTAAATTCTATCGCACCAAAGGGGCTTATTATGTGCCAGCTGCCCAAAAACTCTTTCAAGCAAAGGCAGTTGGACAGATGCTCTATGGCACTTTTATCGGGCCTCCTTCCTCTAGTTTTGCCCCCTTAGAGCGAGTTCAGTCCAAATTTCTCAGAGCAGTTCTTCAGGTCCCGAGGTGTGTATCGAATACACTGATCCGTCTAGAGACAGGTGCTATATCAGTGGAAGCCAAAATTACTTTAGCTTCACTCCAGTATTGGCTTAAACTAAATTTCCATCCTCAGGGACTAACCCACTTGTTACTCTCAGACAACTTTCAATCTAAATGGCTGAGAGCAGTTCATAATAAATTATAGGAGCTTGGTTTTTCCCCCCAAGCGATTTTGAGTATGCATTGGGATGTAGCAAAATCAGCCCTAAAACAGAGAATGATGGACATGGAGAGACAGACAGATCTCGGTAGATGTCCTAATTTTAGAGCCCCAGATTCTGTCAAATATCGCTTGCAACCCATGTCCTATTTATCACAGCTTGATACTCATAAGTTTAGGAAAACCTTCACATTAGCCAGATGTGAGGCTTTCCCCTCCGCGATGCTTGAGGGCAGATTCAAAAGGATCCCCACTGAATATAGACTTTGTTGATGCGGCTCAGGAGAGACAGAAACTATTGAGCACATGATGCTCAGATGTAACTGGTATAACAAGATCCGTGACAAATATATTACTCCTCTTATAACAGATATGGTGGGACAATCAGGTGCTGAGCAATGTAACCGATTGTTAATTGATGGGAACCGGACAATTACCGAAACTGTGGCAAAATTTTTGGTAGCATGCTACTGCATCCGAAATACACAATCAAATGTATAATAATAGTTGCCTAATAGTCTCTGTTTTATGTTCTTCTTTTACTTTATTACGCTCAACTGTATTTTTATAGAATTTTGTTTTACTGTCCTAAATTCAGTTATATGAATGTTATGAATGTTATATTTAAGCATGTGTGTTCCATGACTTGTTGCCGTAATAAATGACTGACTGACTGACAGTCTGATCCAGCAGGGCTCTTCTTATGGTCTCATGTGTCATGGTGGTTGAGGGAAAGGTGAAAAGGTCAACCACAAGGTCAAAAATAGGTCAGGTAAAAAAACAGAAAGTATGCAACAGCTGAGAAACAGAGAGAGTCCTACATGCGCTCTCCATGATAATTAGATATCCTTTTGGTGCCTCACAACCAGGTACTCTGTCTTCTCACAAAGGATCTTTGAGAGCTTCTTGCATCTATATTTAAGAGTTTTATATGTCTACAGCACCCCACCTTGTCTTTAGAGACATTTCACTCATTCTGAAAGAGAAAATATTTCATAGGAGTTTTTTTCTCCAGTATTCCCCCAAATTCCCAATTTCTCCAATAGAAAAAGCTGGAAAAGGCCTTGAGAAAAAAACAGAAACAACTGTTTCCCTCCTAACTTTCCCAGTTTTTTTCCCCAGGTTTTCATATCTCTAATCATAACCTTATTAATTTGTTTGTGTGCTTATTTATTTTAAGAGTATCATGTCTTATAAGGAGAGAAAAAGCATTTTACCATCTTCTAAACTGGTCTGAAAAACATTAGAAAAAACAGAATGCATACTCCAGTGGCTTTATGTAGGGGCTAGAACTGCAAAAGAAATTTCTATTGGACATCACCTTTCCAACAATGGCTCAAGCCATTCTTCGTGGCATTCGCAGTGGCAATCGAGGAAAGTCAGAACATCTCCTTTTGCCATTGAGGCTCCCAGCAGCCTCGCTCGGACCAGGCCTTCTCTCTTATTTGCTCGGATCAGCCGAACCTTGCGTAAATTAGCCACATAGTTTTCCAATTTCTCCTTTAAGTGTTCTGTTACAAAGAGATAATGAATTGCTGTTTCACTATTATCCAAAGCAGCTGACAGCAAATTGCCAATTTCATTTTAAAGACCATAACCCTTCTAACTGCTACAGCATCTCTTGAAGCTGTACCAAGAAAAAACAGCTGATACACAATTATTGTATTTACATCCATTAGGAATTTCTATGTTTTAGCGGACTTTAGCTAATCCTCTGAATCCCAAAGCCGGAAGACAACATCAGGGGAAGGCCTCGGACACTATGCCCTGTTGTTGGCCATCCAGAGGAACTGGTTGGCCACGGCATGAGACAGGATGCTGAACTAGATGGGCTATTGGTCTGATCCAGCAGGGCTCCGCTTATGATCTTATGAGCTCTGTTACTAATGTAATGGCAGAGAAAGGCACAATCCAAATTCTGCAATCACTAATTACATATATATTTCAACAATATTGCCATTGCCACTGCTATTGGAATGAAACAAAGTAGGCATCATACCTGTTTCCATGTTTTGAATACTAACAAATAATGAATATTTGAATACAAAATACGATATAAATATTCTAAGACTTCTTTCCAGAATTATAAAAGCTATAAAGGACCTGGCATGCGTGACCGAGACCTGGGTGCGAGATGGGAAGACTGTAACTCTCTCCCAGCTAGCTCTCCCCGGGTTCTCGGTCCTTCCCCAATCCCAGACTAAGGGGTGGGGGGAGGAGTGGCCCTGTTCATTCGGGAAGTTTACACCTTCGGAGTGCTTCCGCTGCCGAAACTCACAGGCATAGAGTATGCCGGCTTTGTCTTGGAAGCCGGGGAGAGTTTGGCTGTCTGGCTGTGGTGTACCGTCCGCCCAACGCACCAGCTAGCAGCCTGCCATCCCTGCTGGAGGCCATATCAGGCTGGGCACTGGAGCACCTTAGGCTGTTAGTCTTGGGTGACTTCAATGTGCATGCCGATGATGCAACCTCCACGCAGGCAATGGATCTAGTGTCATCCATGGTGGTGCTAGGACTCTCCCAATGTGTTATGGCTCCCACCCACCGAGCAGGGGACACACTTGATTTGATCTTTGCGGCGGGGGTTACAGCGGACTGGATTACGGCTACGGCAGTTCCATGGTCAGACCACCATGTTCTGAAGGCCCGCATAAATGCGCCGCCCCAACCCTGTTCGGGGGGTGAGCATATTTAGCTCGCCCGTGGAGCCAAATGGACCCAGTGCAGTTTCAAATGGCCCTGCGGGATCCGATGCCCCCTGGTGGCTCACTAGATGAGCTTGTCAAGGACTGGCAAAGCCAGCTCTCGGCAGCCATCGACTAGAACGCTCCCCGATGTCCTTTGCGCCCCCGCTCTAAACTCGCTCCATGGTATACACAGGAGCAGAGGTTGATGAAGCGGGAGCTTAGACAACTAGAGAGACAGTGGCGACGTGTTCGGGACGAAGCATCAAGAGCATCCTATAGGACATTTATGAGAGCCTATAAGATGGCAACCAAGGCCACGAAGAAAGATTACTACATGGCCACGACTGCATCTGCTAGCTCTCACCCAGTCCAATTATTTAGAACAATTCAGTCTCTTACTACTCTGCCACAGAGCAGACTAAATGATAAGGAATTGGAAATTGGCTGTGAGGCTTTTGCGAGCTATTTTGCAGATAAAGTCTTGTCGCTCCGCCATGACCTCCCTGCCACAGTTGAGACAGTAACAGAACTCGAGGCTCCATGTGCGTCTTCTGGTCAAGTTCTGGATTATTTTGGTTCTCTCAGCCTAGATGAGGTCGACAAATTACTATCATCAGTTCGCCCAACCACTTGCAGCCTTGATCCGTGCCCATCATGGCTAATCAAAGCTGGCTGTGATGGGCTGCAAGGGGCACTAAAGGAGATTGTCAACAAGTCCCTCATTGAGGGACTGTTCCCTAGTGCCCTAAAGGAGGTGATGGTCCTAAAAAAGCCATCATCAGATCCGGGTGAATTGGCTAATTACTGGCCGGTATCCAATTTGCCCTATTTGACATCAGGGCCCTGCGGGACCTTTTACAGTTCCGCAGGGGCTGCAAGATGGAGCTCTTCCGCCAGGCTTTCAACTAGGGTGCCACCTCGATTTTATGGCCCTGGCCCTGACATCGACACCACCAACAACCTGGCCTTAACATCAGCACCACCAACAGCTGGCAGGAGCCACTCAGCGATAATAGAAAGTTGCCATCTTGAAATTGTGTTAGGTGCTTGAGTACCTACAGTTTTATATTTAAATTTAATGTTGTTTATATTGGAATTTCAATTTTCATTTTTATATTCATGTCGTTAGCTGCCCTGAGCCTGCCACGGCGGGGAGGGTGGGATATAAATTTCAGAATAAATAAATGAACCCTAACCACACTTTTATAAGAAAAGATGCTCATTGACTGAAACATACTAATTGGGATATAATACTTTCTTCAAATGAGATGAGCAACAATATCTAGGCAGCAGACACAGGAAAGTATCCTGTTCTGCAGAGCCCTGTATTCGAACCCGTTTACTTCCCCCCCCTCGATGGGCACTGGTGCACTAAACTGTGCAATCCTGATCTGTTTAGGACTGCATTGCGTGCACTATGCAGAAGAGTCAGGCAAATGTCTTAATGGGACACTTGTATAGTTCCTCTTTTACCTGTGCTAATCCTACTTGAAATGCATCTGGCTAAACCAGACATGACAGGGGTATCCAAGTACGTTTGTGAGCTCACCCATTCATACTAAAATGTATGGAGAGGATCTATTTAAAAAAAAACAACCAGCACCCTGAGAAGATAGTTCATGGATGAGGGGTGCAAAACCAAGTCCATTCCCCTTCCCGAAGTGTGCTCCATTGCCTGAATCACTCTTCTTCTGGGTTGGCTCACTTGTTATATCAGGTTGGGTTCCAAGATGTGCTCTGAAAAGATTGTACTTCCTGGGCTCCATCCACATGCAGATGTAGCTGTTGTTGCTGCTCTGAAGAGAGCCAGCATGGTGTAGTGGTTAAGAGCAGCGGACTCTAATCTGGAGAACCAGTTTCGATTCCGCACTCCTCCACATGAAGCCAGCTGGTGACCTTGGGTCAGTCACAGTTCTCTCAGAGCTCTCTCAGCCCAAAAAATAAGTCTAGCTCACCAACTAGTGGTACGTAATGCTAAAAAAGAGCAAGCCAGACAGTCTTCGCATCTCCTGGCTATACTACACACAATGCCATACGATAATAACGATGATGATGATGATAGTGGTGATTATTATGATATGAATGCAGAGGCATTCACCACAATAATGGAGCACCCACACAGAGGTTTTTCCCTGCGTTTTCCTTGTCCCAGACCTCCATAGCTGCCACCACCCTCACTGTGGCCACTAGAGGGCTTTTTCAGACTTAAAAAAGTTCTAGTCATTTTTGTTGCCAAAGGGGAAATGTTCTACCGGGATGTTTCTGCTTATAGCTTTAACAGAGAAGAGAGCTGGGAATGGGTGCAGTGCTGGAAGAGATCGGGGTTCCCAACACAGGGCCCACTGACACTGTTCCTTGCACCACCCAAGCGTTTTTAGAAAGTGGGTGGGCCAGGCATCCTGATAAGCAGAGACTCTGCCTGAGATGCTGAAGAGTTATTAGGTGATGGCACACCCTCCCTCCCCAACATTTTATGACTGGCTCTGCCTCCTTTGGCAGACACTTTGTGGCTGCATCAGAATTCCAAAGGTGCCTACAGGCCCAGAAAGGGAGGGGACCTCTGGAATAGGCTGTTCTAATGCTACAGCAATAGAGAAGAGCCAATTTTTTTAGAAGTCCAAAAATGGCCTTCAGTAGAAGGCGGAGGGAACGGTGGCCACAGGGACAAAGGTAATAAAAATTATAATAATGAGGGACCTGCAAAAGTAGACACCTTCCTAACCACACAACAGCAAAAGGTCTGTGATCTTTCAAAAAAGACTATATCAAACCAGGTCTGGGAAATATTGCAGAAAAGAGGGGGAAACACAGACGCCGGGCAAACAGAGGACGATGTTATGGAGATGCCCCCCAAAACAGCATTGTTCTAAGGAAGCCAAGACAGAGCAAAACATCTGTGAGGAAACAGCCCGAATGAGAGGGAAATGGTTCAAGCAGCAGAATGTGTGTCACTTATAAACGTGACAGGCAGGTGCTTCCATGATGTCTTCAGCTGCACGTAACAGTGAAGTGAGGGTGGGTGAATACCCAGAGACACGGCCCTTCTCTGTTGCAGCACTTCCGTTATGGAATTCCTTCCCCACAGCAATCCACCTGATGCCAAGCTTGTTGGGGTTTAAGGCACCAAGCAAAACCATTATTATCTTCCTAGACATTTTCCTGATGTTAACACTTTTTCGCGTACATTTCAATAGTTTTAATACCACTTTAATGAGTATCACTGGAAGTCACTGTGAGAGCTAAAACGTTGAGCATGGCATGCAACTAAATGAACGGAAAGTAGACTATGATCAAAACATGAACAACGGCAGTACACCTTTATCAGTATAGAATCACCGCCTTGAGTCCAAGCAGATGGGGAGGGATAGAAATATCTAAATGAATAAATAATTTCCCTGTGGTCCTTGGTTGTTTAATTAGCTGACACCCTAAGTTGAAGACAACTCCTTTAGCAGTTTCAAATACTGCAAAGTTTTAACTACACAGCATACTGATTGTACACAGATCTCTCCAGGGGTCCTGCAGGTTCTGTCTTGATCCAAATCAGACAGACCACGACAGAGCCATTTTGCAAAATCCACTGATTCTCCCAATAGGGACTGAGAGCCACATCTCCCTGGGATTCCTGTATGGAGGGCAGGAGTGAGTAAAACTCTCAGGCGCTTCTCACTCATGCAGGCAGGCATTGGTTGACCGGAAGTTTACGTGGGATATCAAACTATGGTAACTCAAACATAGTTTGCCTGAGCAAGACAGGCGGACTATTAACACAAATAATCATTATTAGCTGTTGTAGATTTTCCAGGTTGTATTGCTGTGGTCTTGGCATTGTAGGACCTGACGTTTTGCCAGTAGCTGTGACTGACACCCTCAGAGGTATAACAAAAAGATGGAGTACTCTCTGTGTCGAGGTGAGAGGAAAAATGGTAGGCCGGTGATTTATATCTACTCAGGAAGGTGGGGGTAGGGCTGAGTCATTATCTTGTAGGAGTTCCCTAGGCTGTGGACATGCTAATGGAGGAGCTTTCCTGAGGAGGTTCTTTTGTGTATGGATTGTTTCCTGAGGAGGCTTCCTGTTTGCTGAGGCGGTTCTTTTGCATGTGGATTGGCTGTTGAAATTCTAATCTTATCTGTACTGCTATTGTCAGATGCAGAGCCTTTTGTGTTTTTCAGGACAGGAAACCATGCCCTATTTATTTTTAAATTCTCTTCTTTCCTGTTGAAATTGTGTTTATGATTATGAATTTCAATGGCTTCCCTGTGTAATCTGACATGGTAATTGGATGTGTTGTCCAGCCTTTCAGTGTCTTGGAACAAAATACTGTGTCCTGTCTGAGTTAGGCTATGTTCAGCCACTGCTGATTTTTCAGGTTGGCCAAGTCTGCAGTGTCTCTCATGTTCTTTTATTCTTGTCTGAATGCTATGTTGTGTGGTCCCGATGTAAGGGTATGCTCCTGCAGAAGTGAGGGGGTCTCTTCTGTCTTTTGCCGATCATAGCATCTGTTGTATTTTTCTGGTGGGTCTGAATACTGTTTGTAGGTTGTGTTTTTTCATAAATTTTCCCATCTGATCAGTGATTTCTTTGCTATATGGCAAAAACACTTTTCCTGTGGGAGACTGTTTTTCCTCAATTGTTTGATTTACTTTTCGTTTAATCGCTCTTCTGATTTCATTACTGGAGTAATTCGCTTGAAGTGAGTGATTTAGATGATTTAGTTCATCATTGAGAAAGTACGGTTCACATATCTGTCTTGCACGGTCTACTAATGTTTTGATGATGCCTCTTTTTTGCCGAGGGTGGTGATTGGAGTCTTTGTGTAAATAACGGCCAGTGTGTGGGTTTGGTTTCCTGTAGACCTTGTGACCTTATTGGAAGTTAGCTTTGCGGATGACCATGATATCTAGAAATGGGAGTCTACCCTCGCTTTCTTTTTCCATGGTGAATTGTATGTTTGGGTGGATGTTGTTGAGGTGGTCTAAAAACTCCATCAATTCTACTTTTCTATGGCTCCAAATGATAAAGGTAAAGATAAATGATAAAGATAAAACAGCTTTAGAATCTGCACCCCACAAACCTACAGTCTGGTTCCAGTACGTAGATGATACCTTCCCACTCTAGCTGCCCTGCCGCCATATTGTTAAAATTATTTCCAGGTGGGTCTGTGTTTGCCTTTAAGTATTACAGCTATTAGTAGAAACTGTATTTATGCTAGTAATAAAACTCTCATCTTTCTGCGGTCTACACTCCTTTGTTTTTGTATATTGCGTTATGTAATAAATGTATTGTACTGTATAAAAGAACAAAAAATTTTTTTTAAAAAGAAACCCTGTGCCAACAAAGATTTTAAGGAAGTCACCCAGAATAGCTTACCTTTATCACTGTAATCATCCACCAGAATGACTTCTTCTAGGAGGATATTGGGAGATGTCTCAAGAACACTGTGAACCGTTCTCAGAAGTGTTGACCAAGCCTCGTTATAAAAAGCTATTATAACAGAAGTCTTTGGTAGGTCATAATAATGGTATTTCTTCTCTCTGCATCTGTAATAAACAACATTAATAATTTTGGATTCAGGCATGCACTTAAATAGTACACCATAGTTTGTACAGAATTAAGGTGAACAAGTAGGGGAAGAGGTGATACAGCAAGTGTCTCCTGGAATTTCATCACATGTATTCACATTCAGAACATATCTTTTAGGGTTCCGGTTCCGGGCTCAGCGATAGCAGGTGCATGGTGAGCTCGCTCCTCGCACTAGCTATTCCTAAAAACTTTATAAAGGCTATTTCCACTGCCTCAAGCTGCTCTCTCAAAGAGAGAGACTTGGCAAGGGACTTTTTTCTGCCTAAGCCGAGTGGGGTGGCAACCCCCAGGCTTTGGTTAGGCTTGTCCTGATACAGAAAGTTTACAGGAGCCCCGACGCAATGCAGTCACACCAAGCAAAAGAGAAGCCTAGCAGAACCGCCAGAGTCTGAAGATAACAGCTCAACTCAAAGGAACGTAACCAAAGCTAAGTAGAATTAAATCCGCTATAAACTTACCCCAGGAGGACTCCCGGGAGGAGTTGTAGTAATTGTGTCTGTGCCGGTAACAGAGGCTGCCCCGAATACTCATCGGGGATGTAGAACTTCCCCAAAGCGGCTAAAATTAAGGAAAAGTCTAAAATAGTCAGGAAGAAAGACTTTCGGTCCGAAGGGGCTGGGGGAAGGAAGGAAAAAAAGCAGGTACTTTAAGCAGCAAAATGGTTTTTCCCCCTGTTTCTCTTCACATGTATCTTTAAACACCCAGCAGACTCCATTTTGGTGACAGGGCAAATCTAAAAAGAGGCGCAGTGATGTGGGACGTGGTGACGTGATAATGGAGGGACAAGAAGACAGAGGAAAAGGGCGACGACGGAGGAGATGCATGGAGAAGGGCGGAAGAAACAGCGGTGACGTGGGGACAGAGGCAAACAAATGAGCGGGGAGTCACGGCGCTTAAAGGAAACGATGGAGGAAAAAAGACAAGTGGAGGTGTGGTGACACGGTGCAGCGCACTGAGAAACAAAATGGGAGAAAGAAGAGAGAACAAGAGAACTAAACTGTACTAATTAAGAAATACGAGAGATTTGTGACATTGACCAGAATAATCAACCTAAGAAACATCTGGAGAACCTGAGAGATAGTTGGAATTATAAGTGGCGGATTAGAACAGACAGAAATATTTAAAATAATAAAAGTAGAAGAGCCACAATAGAAGGATCTAAGAATAAATAAAAAAGAGGGGGAAAGCAGTTAAATAACAAAGAATCTTTGCTAAAGCGTAGTATAGCGTAGTAAAAGTAATATAGAAATAGAAATAAATTTAACTCATGGCCACCAGTTCTAGCGGAAGCAGAAAAACATCCCTAACCTCACCAGGGCAAGTAGGAAGTCTCAGTCAATTAAAAACAAGCTACATGAGTATCACACAAATGACCCAGAAAGACCTAATAGCATTGATCCAAGAGAGTGTGGCGCAGATGGTAAAATTAACAGTAGAAAATACCCTACCAACACTTATAAAGAAAGAGATAGAGCCTATCCAATCCAAAATGGAAGAAATAACAGAGCAGATTAAGACAAAAACGGAGTAAATTAAAAACAAATAATAGAAAATAAACAGGAAATACTAAAAATTGCAATTAATAATGAACAAATCAAAGAAAAGGTACAAGACTTAGACTATGAAATACAAGAACTAAAGATTAAAAATTATAAAATTGAAGAAACCTTAATACATCTGGAAATGGATAAAGCAGCATCAATGATAAGATGTCAAAACATACCAGAAAATATAGAAAAAAATCTGAAAGCCGAAGTAGCCCAAAGCAATTACAAATAGGATCATAAAAAGAAATATCGGAAGAAATTGAAGCGATATATAAACGAAATTCAGCATATGCAAGAAAACAAGGTGCCAAGAGAAGTTCACACAAATTTTTATAGCAAAGAAATGAAAGATAAAATTCTCAGGCCCTGGTCACACGGGCCAGATAATGGGGGGGGGGAGGTGCAGGTATTTGTGCCGGCGCAGTTAGACCCGCCAGAACGCGATCAGACATGTCGGCGGCACACCACAGTTCCATCCCTCGGTGCCTGCGTGTCAACGAAGACGGCCAGTGGGAAAAGCCACGCCGGCGCGATCACATGGAAGGAGTCCGTTGGCAGCCCATGGCAAACCATTTGCCAGTACTTTTGTGCAGGTACTTTTAAACCACACATTTTAGGTGGGACGCTATGGTTTGGCCACAGGTGCGCTACGCCCGCCAGATGTTGCGGTGTGATCGCACCTGGAAAATCCACCCAACATTTGTGGCTCTCCCATGGCAAATTCGGTGTGTGAACGGGGCCTCAGAATCACAAATGAAAATAAAGTTACCATCCAAGAGGCTGAAGTTAGATTTCTGAAGGAAATACTTTGGAGAGTAAGGGGGAAAAGGCACAGTTATCAAATTCTGACTAAACTTCTGAAAAATAATGGAATCATGTATAGATGGTTAATACTGGAAGGAGTACTATTCAATTATGACAGTAAAAGACAGAGGATAGATTCAGTATTCAAATTAGAAAACTTCTTAGAAAGATATGGAGACGATTTAGGATGGCAAAAAGAAGACGATAAGAAAGAGAAGAAGCAGCAGAAGCAGAAGCAGAGGAAGAAAATGCAGGACAAGATACAGATAAAAATAAAAAGGCCACTGCAAAAAGAGAAAGGGAAAGACCGGGGATGACTTCTTCTCAAATATTAACTAGATTTCAATATAGAAGCAGGGAAAAATAAAAACAAACATGATAAGAACTAAAAAAATTAAAATCCTCTCTATAAATGTAAATGGGCTTAAAAATCCGCAAAAAAGAAGAAAGATTTACCATCAGTTATCCAAATTACAAGCCAATGTAGTTTGTCTCCAAGAGACACATATTAGAAAAATATGACACAAAATACTTACTATCCAAAAAACTAGGGAATGCTTTTATAGCGACAGATGTAAAGAAAAAAAGAGGCGTCGTAATATTTGTGAAAGATTACTTGCAACCTGATTTGTTTTATGCTTCAGAAGAGGCAAGAATTGTTGCGATTGTAATAACCAGAAACGGAAAAGAAACACTCATTGTGAATATATATGCACGAAACCAAAATCAAGAAAACTTTTTAAAGGAATTACAGAAAATGTTATCATTAAAAGAATTTTAAAACATCTGCATTATAGGTGACTGTCCAGAATTGGACAGGAAAAACCAAAGAAAATCTTAAAAAACAGGAACAATTCTCCCCAAAACATTCCTATAAACTGCGGAAGAATATAGCCTGATTGATACCTGGAGAACAAGAAACCTAAAAAAGAAAGATTTTACGTATTATTCAATAAGACATAACTCTTGGTCTAGGATAGATATGGCATGGACAACAACGTTAAATGAATTATTAGACTGAAATATTGCCAAAAACATTAGCAGATCCTTTAATATTATCAATCAAAGAGGTATTTAATAAAAGCAGATGGAGGTTAAATACTGGACTATTAAGAGATCAAGAGTTCATTAAAAGAACTAAAAAGGAGATTCAAGATTTCTTTAAAATAAACATGCAACCAGATATGCCAATAGAAATAATATGGGACGCGTTCAAAGCCTTTATAAAAGGATGGTTTATCAGTCAGGCTGCCTGGAAAAATAAGCAAAATAAGAAGAATTATGAACAGCTAAGCAAACAGATTAAACTAGAAGACGACAAAATGACAAACAATACAGAATAAAGTTAAAAACGTTACAAGATAGAAAAGAAAGGGGTGGATTGGGTATACCCAACTGGAGACTATACTACCAAGCAGCATCCTTATGTTGGATAAAAGAATGGTTAACGTTGAAAAATATTAGATGCATAAATCTAGACAGTCATAATCTGTGTATGGCATGGCATGCGTATGTATGGTACGGGAAGGACAAAATTCACTCAGACTTTCAGCACCATACATTAAGGGGGGCATTAATAAAAATATGGAATGATATTAAAGAGCAATTTTATAGAAAAATACCCAAATGGGTATCTTCATTAGAGGCATTTATAAAAACCCTTGCTTATCACAAAGTACAATAGAGAAAGCGATGAGGTGCTATTAGATAAAAGCAATAATTTGCAATCAGAAGAGAATCTTACTAACCATAATATTAATCTATCATGGTGAGAAAGTGCACAATTAAGGTCCAGATATAATACGTTATTTGTGGTTTTTATGAGACAAAAAATGAATTAGATAAAATTTGGTTGTCTTCAAATGATAAACTGATTCAAAAAATATATAGATTTTTATTGGAAGACTATACGCAGGACGAAACGGTGAAAAGATCCATGATCTCGTGGATGCAGGATATAAGTCACAATATAGAGATAGAGGAATGGGACAAAATATGGAGAAAATTAAAATATATGATAGCTACATCCTATAAAGAGAAGATTTATAAAAATTTTCATAGATGGTTTTGGTCGCCAGATAAAATTGCTAGATGTCACCCTAACGTTTCTAACAAATGCTGGAAATGTAAAACAAACGTTGGGACCTTTTACCGTATGTGGTGGAGGTGCAAAAAAATCCAAACGTATTGGCAGATGACACAGAAAATAATTTTAGAAATTTATGAAATGTATTACTAACACCTGAAATTTATTTGTTAAATATAATCCCTGAAGGTTATCCAAACCAGGATGTATATATGTTGATGTATATTATAACAGCTGCTAGAATATTGTTGGCAAAATATTGGAAAGCGGAAAAAACACCATCCAGGGAGGAAATAACACATAAATGGAACTGGTGGAAATGGACAGACTGAGTATGCTATTACAGAGTAAAGATGACAAGGTATATAACAAAAGATGTTCAAGAGTGTATAAATGGATAAATAAATAGACTCAAATGTATGTACGAGAAATGATGTTGAATAATATGACTAGACTGTAAAAATCTATAAATACACATTAAAAAAGAACATATCTTTCAGAACACTATTCATAAGATGTATTCGGCAGTTGAAGCTTGCACGTTTTACTCAAGGATCAGGAATTCATGCTTATAGTGACAGATCAAGATTTAAAAGCTGCCCAAATTCAAGCTACCACCAGATAGTCAAGCAGAAATGTACATAATGCTAAACTCAATAAAAGTTTGGTTATTATAAATAAGCTATTTCAGAAGGTTCTAAATTAAAGTGTTTCTGTTAAGTAACAAAACAAATTTAAAAACTAAAAAATGCTTTATTGAGAGAGAACATATTATTCCCATCACATTTCTAAAGCAGGCGCTGTTTTGGCCCACCTAAAAGTGAAACAGGCTAAAGGTTTTTAAGGTCACAGTCTTCAAGCAATGCTCTTCAGTTACTGCTTTAAGTTGTCCAGCTGTAGCTGAGGAGGAGTCCGTGCGGACACAAGGCTTCCACATACTTTCTTGACCAGGAGTCTCAGGCCTACAATTAGATGCATACAAATGACCATGCCCACTTATCTACAACACATGACTTTCAGTTATACATCCCCACCTGCCTTCTGGTGCAACTAGGTATGTGTATCTTTTAAAAACAAAACTAAGGCTTGGTCAGGATAAGCATATTGTTGACACGGACAGAATTTAGACACATTATGTCACAATAGGTCAGGTTCCGGTGGAGCCGAGTCCAGGTTTGGGGCTGTCTCAACCTCCACGCCTGCTTTTGTTGGGCAAGAGTTCCGGGTTACAGCCTCAGAGGGGGGGGGCCCTCCACCCAATTCCCACACTCTGCTCTGCCACTGACTGACTCTCTCACCTGCCAGGGCTATAGTTGCACACACAGCCCAGCTGCTCCTGGGCACACCTTTTAAAAGCTCTCTCAGGCTCAACCTATCCTCCCTCCCCAATCCAGCCCTGGGCCAATCACGGATCCTTGTCTTGGGCTGGTGAGCTCACTGCCCCCCCCCGCCTCTTCAAAGGGCTGGCTGCCCCACCCCCCAGTGTCTTCTAAGAAGGCCACTACTGCCCGTTCCCTTTGCCCCATTGACCGGTTTGCCTCCTCAGTTGGTTGGTACGGGGGGGGGGGGGGGGGGGGGGGGGGGGCGCCTCGGCTTCTGCTGCTGAAAACACCACTGAGCACCAGCGGGGCTCCTTGCAGCTGATTGGCTGCCAGGCTGACCCCATCAAGGCCGTTCCTTGCTGTGACCTGACAGGAGACGTGTGGGGGGCAGGGCTGTTGCTCACCCCAGGCATAACAACAACAACAACACGTTTTGTCAATTTAACCTGTGAGCATTCATTCTGGTATTAGGACTCCTGTCAATCTTCTTGGTTACCACAGTAATGTGTTGAACAGATTTTCACAGGGCACTGGAGTACACAAACTCTCATTTGAGATTTCTGCGGTTTTACTCAAGTGTGAGCCTAGCAGAGCACTTCCTTACTACTTATATCTATTGTCTTACACTGACTTCCTGACTTTTAAAAAATAAGTCTGTTATTAAATATATTAATTTAGACTAAAATCTCATAACTAGTTACTAAGGGAATAACTCTCTACCTTCCTCCCCCTCTTCTCCAGTAGAATGCTCAGTGGAGCTTCCCCAATAACCTGGGAACCCAGAGACCTTGTCAACAGAAGTCTCTGTGCTGCTGCCGCTGCTGCCCGAGGTGAGGGCCAGGCCCCCTGCTTCCCTTCCGACATTAAGGGGCCATGAAATCCATGTTCTCTGAGACTTCAGATACTAAACATCTGCATACTCTCTTTCCCACCAAAGAATTTCAGGATCAATGCAGACGAGATTAATTTCCCCAGGTTTCTAGTAGATGCATTCCTCTTTCATCAATAATCAAATCTTCCCTCTGCCCAAGTTTTTGCCCTTCACACTGCTTGCATGAGCATTTCTGAGGAGAAAAAATCACCAACAAGGAAAATTTCCCTTTCAATTTTCAGATGAGCCTGCAGTCTGGTGAAAGTGCCTCCAGCACAGTGAAACGGCAGCAGTTCCTGAGAAACTGCTGAAGAATAGCCAGGAGTTGAGTGCCAACTGTAAGGTGAGAACGTGCTTATCAGCCAGCCACAGTGGCATTAACTGACGTGGCAAAGTGAACAACACACGCTCCCGGTAGTAGTCCCTGTGAAGGAAACTGCAGCCGGACCTGGATCACCTTGCTGGATTACTACTTTTTCTAAAGCAAAGACTATCAAGCAGAGACGAGCAGGAAAAAGAGGCTGCTGGCAATGCCTGTTTAGCCTGTGGGCAGAGTCCTTCCTGGTACAGGCTGGGACCACAACACTGAGAGGGCACTCGATGGCTAATGGAGCGTAGGAGCAGCTGCACTGGGTTTCGCCCATTAAAGGCAACTGTGCTTGGAAGATTTCCAGCGAGAAAATGTTGTCAAAGGCCAAAAGAGGAGGAGGGCAGGGAGCTGTTCCCGTGGGCAGCAGAGGATACTGGAAACACTTTTTACAGTCAGAGTTGTTCAACTGTGGACTCAGCTGCCTGGGGAGGTGGCGAGCTCCCCCTCGCTGGCCGTCTTTAAGCAGCAGCTGGACAAAGATTTTTCAGGGATGCTCTGGGTCCTGATCCTGCATGGCGCAGGGGGCTGGACTAGATGGCCTGTGTGCGGCCTTCCAACGCTGTGTGATTCTATGAAAAGCCTGTGCCTGTGAATGGCTGGCTAAAGGCAGGCTGAGACAAGGTGAAATAAGCGAATAGGGGGAATCCTAAGAACATTTGCGCAGAAGTCATCCCCAAGAGATGTACTCCTCCTGTTAATTAAGAGCTGCAGCTTCAGGAACTGGTTTGGATGAAGCCTGCATTTTTAAAGTTCCACATTTCTCAGTTTCTAGGCTTTAAGAGATGATGGGAAAAATACTTTGCCCCAGGTATGTTCACAGACAATGGAGTCTTGCATCTGAAGAAATACACACACACCCCAAACTCTTGAAAGTGTATAAATTGTGTTAGCCTTTAAGGTGTAACTTGACTTCTGTGTAATAACAACAGGGACACCAGCCTCCCTGGTCCCCCCCCGCCCCCCGAATGAGAGTAAGATGGCATTTCCAAGGAGAAGGGACAGACGTCAGAAACCAGTCCCTAATTTTGAGCTGCTCTTTCTCCTTGTGTGGGAAACACGGGTCGGAAGAACCGTCTTCCCTTTCCGTCTGGTGGGCACAACCCAATGGTCAGGGGAGGCAGCAGCGGGCTTTTCTTAGCTGCCTTTTCCAACCCAGGAGAAGGAGCAGCCCCAAACGGTGGATTCTGTCGGCCTTCTGGCCCGCCTGTACGCCTACACTAATCAGAGTACGGTTTCCAGGAGCTGGCACTTTTGAGTGGGTTAATGCGGACACCGAGATGCCACGGGGGAGAGGACTCATCCTCCGAAGGGATGCCGCTGTTCCGCACACCCTGGTCCACAGCCACAAGCGGTAGGAGGGCCCAGATGCCACACAGAGAGACTCTGATGGAGAGGCGACCTCTGGTCACATCATGTGCTCCTCCAGCCGACTGACACAGAGTAGTCCTGCGGGAGTCCGCCTGGTCCAATGCTTCCCCTCTCACCAGCCACCATTCTCCACCTGTCGCCACACACACACAAACCTCACGGGAGCCCAGAAGAGGAGCGCAGAAGTGAAGCCTGGTGAGGGTCCCGCGTGAAGATGCCCCCCCCCCCCCCCGCCCCCCGTGTTCATTGAGGGGTGGGTGGCGTGTGCAGCCCCCCCTTTTCTTCTCCTCGCAGGGACTCAAGTGGCACAGGAAGTGGTGTCCCCTCTCAGCTGGGCTGAGTGTGAGCCAGGCCAAAGTTCTTGAGCCTCCGGCTCAGACCCAGGTTTCTGCCTCCGCTCAGGAAGGAGGGGGCTCCGGAGAGCAGCAGGCCACTAACTGACGCAGGGGCCTTAAGGGCTGGCTGGCTGGCTGGCTGGCTCTCGCCGCTTCACGGCCAGGGGGGCTGCTCACAAGGTGGAAGTTTTGCTCGCAACTCCAGAGCTGGGAGGGAGCCTGGCTCATGGGGGTGGGTGGGGTGGGGGGGTGTTAGAGAGGATGGGCGCAGAAGCCGCCCACAGCCGCCCCCCTCCCCGCCTCTCACCGGGGGTTCCTCCGCTCGGGGAGTCGTCGGTGGAGGGAGATGCGGTCGCTGAGGTAGACGTTGACCTGGTGCCGGCGGACGCCCTCCTCCTCCCGCCGCCGCTCCGCCTCGCCCAGCGACAGACGCGCCGCCCGGCCCAGCTCGCCCAGC